GTGTGTGTGTGTGTGTGTGTGTGTGTGTGTGTGTGTGTGTGTGTGTGCGTGTGTGTGTGTGTGTGTGTGTGTGCGTGTGTGTGTGTGTGTGGATTTATTATTATGTTGATTAAAATGTAACGACAAGTTACTGCTTATTATAAGTGTACTTACTTTTGCTTTAACGAAAGTATGAAAGTAAAAAAAATTCAACAAAATATTTAAAAAAAAATTGACTTTGACTTTGATGAATATAAATAAAAACACAACAACAAAATATTAAAAAAACATATTTATAATAGTTCAAATAATAGAAAGGGAAAGTAAAATACTATAATATTTACAAAACTTCCGATTAAATACAAGTAATCACAACTTCCATTTGTTGACAGTGTCATGGTAAGCACGCATTTCAATTTTACTGTACCGCATACGCACAATCACAACTTAAGTGTGCTTAAAATGTACTAGTTCTTAATGTAAAAAAGAGTGACACAAATCAATCTTATGAAAAAAGGCACGTTACAAAATGTAAAGAAAAGCTAAACAACTTTAATATGAACAATATAAAGTTCTAATTTGTTTGCTAATACCCTTATATAGCATGTTTAGTACATAAAACACGGTCCACATGGAAGAAATATAATTTTTATGCACTTTTCAAATTTGACAATTAATAAATGAGAAAGTATATTAAGTTAGTGAAAAAAATATTTTTGTCTAGTCTGGGTTTTCGTCATGGACATATTTTATATGTTAAAGTCTTATAAAGATTACAATTTTGGAACCAAATTTTGTTTCTTAAAAAAAATTATTGAAATGTTTTCATTTTACAATACATCAAGAAACATTTTTTTTTCAAAAAAACGTAAACAACCATGGATCTTAGCGATCTAGATCTAGATTTCACTTACCTATCCTTTCAACGAAATTACATAAATTTTAATACCACCGCTACATCGTACTTCTCCTAACTAACTGTTGTAACTGTCGTTGACCGCATAAGAAACCTCTGATCTTACGCAGGTTTGAAAAGCGAAAATTCACCAGTAATCATCGCAAGTCAACCTTCTTTTACATATGAATATAACTTATTGACAAAACGAGATTGTATCATCATCACTTCTGCTGGAAGACGTTCTCTGTTGGAGGTCTTCGGTCCGTCTTATGGGTGGTCTACCCATACTGCATCTTCCGGTATCGGCTATTTGTTCTGGAGCAATGTGCCCCGCTCACGGCCACTCAAGTTTTACGATTCTTTGGGCTATTTCAGTTACTCTGGTTTTTTTTGCGGATACCCTGATTTCTAATGTGATTTCGCTGTGAAACTCGGCTTGCTCTTTGAGTGACCTTGAAGCTTTTTATGCCCATTATGATCGAAAACACTGATCAAGAACTTTCGCAGACATTGTGGAAGTTTGGATAAGAAGATATGGCGAAGCTTCCCGAACGCTGCTCAGCCGAATCGAATCTGACCTCTCGAATCTTTCTCGAAGTTGGACCTACCTAACTAATCAATTTGTCCCAGGTATAAATAATCTTCAACAACTTCGAGTGTAAAGTCTCTGATCTTCATGGGAGTTGGCGGTATCGTCTTATCCGTGTTCATTTTTAGGCCAACTCGTTCGGAGGATCTACTGAGGTTATATGTATAAAACAAAAATATTTTAGCCTGAAAACTATGTCCAATACTTGTTACGACAGTTGGTCAGAAGAGTGACTACATATTTTACAATAACATGTAACGTGTTATGACTATTCGTATAAAATGTTCTTAAATTAAAAAACTAATTCACAGACTCTACAAGGTGCATTGAGCTTATATTATTGTACATCTGCCCTAATAAATTGTATTTTACTAGCTAAATCACCTGGTGTTACACGTTAGACGCGTCTTCGGGTCTTGAATTGGTTTGCCTGAAAATATAGTTTTGATTAAAAATTTAGGATAATAATATTGGAATAAGGAAATGAGTTCCGTGCTTCTGACAACCCAAGTGCCCTAGAGAAAGTAAAACTGTTTGTTAACACCAGTCGTATGTTTACACTCAACTGTACTCTGAGATGGAATTTAAGATAAAAAATGACGTCAATTGAAAAAAAAAATATTTTAAGAATCGTGCAAATGTGAAAGTTCTAAAAATAATCCATGTTTTTTATTATGTTCTTAAACTGAGTGCTCGCACAAACAAAATACTTTCAAAATGTTAGTTTTTATTTAAAACACTCTAATTACATAAGCTTAAAAATACTAACTCTAGTGCTTTTTTGTTTATTCGGTTTTTGATGATGATGTAAGAGAGATTTTATTATTTCAAATAGGTATGTACATAAATAAAGTAATTGTAAAGCGTATAATAAAGTATAAAGAAAAATAATAAGTTTATTTATTATTAATAGAGCTGGTTACAAGAAGTAGTGACTGATTAGAATGAATCACGGTAAACGAACTTGAAAAAAAAATGTTTATGATCTATGAGATATCACTTTGACAGTGACAGTTGTTTGTTTACATTTTAAATCTCGAATTCCATCACAAAGTATAGTATGATTTTACTCCAGTTGTTCGCTCGAAAGCACTATCGGCATTTTCTGTAGCACAATAATATGAACACAGGAGTTTCTCCACACAAATACTGTTTATTTATAAAAGAATAGATTTAAATTGAGAAGGCCATAGATATATGTATTAATTATCCTCAAAAATGCAGGAAATTAATGTAAATATAATTCACATATTATAGCTATACTAGAGCAATATATTTACGTTGCAATAACACTATAATAATATAATATAGTGAAAATCTAAAGCCAAAGCATACCAACATATATACACAAACTTTAGGCTACACGACTGTTGCATATGTTTAAAAAGTATATAAGCTGTATGTAATGGCTTGTTATATAAATGCTGACGTTTAGATACCCATATACAAACAAATAAAATTATAGAAAGCATTCTGAAGTTAAAACGATTTAATTTAATTTCGAAGTATAGGCGTCACACTTTAAACTCCACAATGCAGCCCTCGGCTGCGTTTATTTTGTTTTAGAATAACCATGGACCAATAAATCAAGATGACAGCTAATCTTCATACTGCAGATCGTAACTCCGAAAAAGATCAAAGTCCCGTCTTATATCTATAAGGCGCTGATCGATAGACTGGAAGTAATTTATATTACGTATAGGGCACAGTATTGAATCGAAAGTACCGATAGCGTACTCACTCGTACACTCATTTTATTCGGCAAAGCTCGTCACTCACATAGAATATTATACAATTCTAGATATGTGTTAGATGATCTATTAGATGATCACTCTTTCAGTGAATTCAGAACTTTAAAACGCTCCCCTACAAACTTGGCAACGTCATTTCCCATAATTTGTGTTACTTAAATTTTCAATTTTCAACTCCTCCTCTGTACAATGACTTAGAAACAAAAATCTATTTGAAGACGGTCTGTTTCTCATTTTTGATACTGTATTGCCTGCTTTTGAGGGCAAACGTTCTGATGAAGGGACAAACTTCTTTTAAAGAGGCATATGGTGGCATACAATATACAGCCAAAAAATCGCTAGGTGGCTTGCGTTACGTTATGTGGTGTCCTAAGTACGAATTATTCGAAACGATACGATACTTGTCTAAAATTATTTGACAAATAAGCATGTCAATATTTGTCAATGTGTGTTACAAAGTAATTTATACATTAACGCTTCCTAATATGGGTAGATGGCGCTAATCTCCGTGCAATAAACGCCATCTAGTTCCCTTGTTTGTTATTACTAGAAATGAGAGTATCTTTGAGGAATTGCAGCTTGTAAATGTAAAACATATCAGTTACAAAAATAGCTATTTGGTACGCGTCGCGACATCTGGTGCACCAATAGGTACTAAATACCCGACTACGCCATCTTGTATCGCGATTAGAAATCCTCTTGAGTTTATTGGTCCATAAAGTTAGTAAAAGCTTATTAGGATTCAATTTGAGTCAGCATGCGTCGTTAAATTATTAAATTGGTATAATAATAAAGCCACATGGGATAATACGTCAAAAGAGTTTTTATTAAATGGCAGTCGCAAGAATAAAACGAACTACATCAAAACAAATTACGTAAAGTCAAGGAAGAGGAATATACTTTATTGTTAACTGATTTCGAAAGAAAGGAGGAGGTTCTCAATTCGAAGTCGTAGGAAGTAGAGGGGTAGTGGTCCCATTTAAATTTGAAGACAACTAGGGGATGAATGACTTTTGAGCTCGGTTTTTTTAATAATCCGTGCTGGGATCAAATGTTTTGTGCTCTACGAAGAACAGAATAAAGTCTTATAAGAATTTTGAATTACACTAAACTTGTTTTTGTCTATCGGCTTTACATGTTTTAACAAACATTATGCTAAATTCAATAGTGACGATGTCAAAAATTGTGCTAACGTCCCCAGACGATGGGGTGAGACGAACAGTACATCGTATTTCTTAAAAAAGTTAAGGTAGGTATACCTCATGTTCTCAAGATTTCACAACTTTCAAAGGTTTTGCCTTAGAATAATAACGCATAGAAACCTAGTCCGCACACGCTAAGTGAGGCAAATTGAAGCGCGCCCAAAGGGCCTACACGAGCGGGCGGGCCTTCAGTGCTCAAGGTCAACTTGCACCGCGAACAGAGCAAGAATTTTAGCTAAAAATGACGAAATGTGCGGTAAATGAGTGTAAAAATACGTCAGACAAACATAAAATAGATACTAACATCACATTCCACAAGGAAGTAACGCGTTTCAACGTGTATTTTTATATAAATATTCACTAAATCCGAAAAATAACCTACTACTAAAACTAGGCTACATGAATTTGATTTTTGCCTCACTTGTGACAGTTCGTTTGATATGAAACTATCATTCTATGCGTTATTATTCTAAGGGTTTTTCCGCCATTTGGATATGTAGCATTTGGAGATATAATCGTTTAAACTAATTTGTTTCTCTGTTTTATCGACTGAGACGCGTTTTCAAGGCTTCAAGTCCCTCTTACCCCACCTGACCATAAATAATTGTGAAATTTCATAACTCTCCTATTTGATTATAAAAAGTTATCGATTAATTTCGTTCTTAGATCTTTTAACCTCTCTTTTGAAAAGTGGTCATTTTGCAAATGTGGCCTTATTAAACAAAGGGTGCGAATTGATTGATTCATTGACATGCAACATTAATGTATCTTAAGCGACATTTTTACCTAAACAGCGTTTTTATTGCAAATGACATTTTAAACAACGAACAAGGACGCGTCGACATTTCCCGCCAAAATGACACCAAATCGATACTTCCAATTAACACTACGCCAACGCCTTATTTTATTTACTAATGTCATGCTGCCCGAATTTTCTGAAAAAAGTGAAGAAACAAGAAACAAAAATCGAAAAAAAAACTAATTTTGTGAAAATAAATAAAAACAGAAATGACCAAAAAAATCTAGTTAGCGTAGTGTTAATTGGAGACACCGAAATATAAATTATAGCAAAAGCTAAGTTTATCGTTCAACTCAACTGTTTTTTTTTATATTTTAGTGTAGCGTCCCCAGCGACCCCACTTGTTATCGCAACCGACATAGGACATGACAATTTCGTCGTTTACAACTTTTTAATCGCAAGTGTTACCTTGACAGTTTAAAAAATCTTTACATGGAGATAGCAAAAATATTGTAAGTACCAAAAAAGGCTTAACTTCCATTGATTTAAAAAAAAAATTATTGCTGTTACACATTCAGTTACGAAATTTATTATTGTTATAAGTATATTAAAATTCAATTGAGTAAAAATATAATACATATGTAAAAATATTTTAAAAAAAAACCCTCTCCTGTAAAATTTGTTTTTTGTTGCTTTGTTGGTTAAGCGTCAAAAAACGAAAGTCCAAGGTCAAGGTTTACCAAAGAGCGACGAAACGCAGCATATTAAGTGTAAAGATGATAGATAGAATCCGGAACACTACTCTGCGGTCGAAACACGCATAATCGATGTTGGGTAAAGGACTGCCAGGTTGAAATGGGACTGGGCTGGACACGTCTGTCGCACACTGCTTGCCGTCTGTCGCAAACACATTTTTTACACATACACGGTTGTCTATGTATGTGTCCATGGCACCCGCGACACAGGATTTCCCTAGTGCTATGTTGAGTGTGTGCGTTACTATTATTATTATTATTATGCACCCATAGAGATGGGCTCAAACAGCCACTTGGTGGATGCCGGACTATGGACGGATGCTAGCGACGACGAGACAGACTAAGAAGAAGATGGCGGACGGATGGATGGACGAGGAAGTCAAGAGGCCTTTGCCCAGCAGAGGGACTCAGAAGGCAAATTAAAAAAAAAAACAGTCGGAGAAATGTGTCATGTGCTCGAAGAAACACGCATTATGTCAGAAACCCATCACACTGCTGAATTTCTAATTGTATGTAACAAGTGATATTATGAGTAGTTAAGCAAAATCAATCTGTGCACTATGAACGGGATACACAACGCCAAACTCGTTACGTACCTTTCCCTGGTGTCCATTTCGTCGTCAGAATCAAAGGGGTTATCGCGCATGTAGCCACGGTTTGTGAAGCCTCCCATGTCCACTGGAAATTAATGATTACTTCATTACAATCACAGTGTAAACAGTAATTAAACTCGACATCGTGATCATTCGCTTTTGATTTTTACTTTAGCTACTTTCACAGTTTAATGATATACTGCATTTTGCTTCGGGGTATAGCCGCCGATATTAATAGAATCTTTGTTCTGCAGAAACGTGCGGTTAGAGCAATTTACAATAGGGGTCGCGGTGTGCCTTTATGAAATAAATTTAAAGAGATTAACATTCTTACGCTAGCGTCACAGTATAATGAAAATGTTTTTTATGAAAAATAGTGACAGATTTAACATTAATACGAGGCATAAAAAAACTAGCTGTTCTTGACAGTCGTCTCAAATAATAAAAAGTCTCAAATATATTTAAGGGGTATACGTACAATTCTATAATAAGATTCCGATTGATATTCAAAATTTAAGGTCTAAAACTTTTCTGAAACAAAAACTTTACACTAAAAGTTATTAGGATACGGATTCTACGTACTTGGATGACAAAAATCCGTGGTAGTGACCCGTTTAGCTCTTCCAGGTATTCACGATCTTGGATATTTAAATTAAATATTGTAATAGTAAATGTATTCAAATATATATTTACAAAGAGCGACCCTAGAGTTACTTGTTCATTCTTCTCAGGGTAATCTGCCTTACGAATAAGTAAGTAGAGTTTAATCAGTATGACGGTTTCAAGTATGATTCGCTTACCTATGAAACAAAGATTATTTGACTTTGAATGTAAGCATTACTGCTTTCCGGTTTTGAAGGGTAAGTGTGCTGATGAAATTACAGGCACATGGAACTTGTCAACGTATGTCTCAGGGTGGCGGGACGAGAAAAAAATATTTTTTTTTCTTTTATATTATTACGCCGGAATGGCGTTACGATTTTTATTTTGGCTCTTTATATAAATAAAGGTCTCTTGATGAACAGGAATATTACAACTGGATCTCAGTTTTGTGAACAGCTAGAAGAGTCTAATTGAAACTTGAATGATGGTGCCACGGTTTTGGTGAAAAATTATCAAAATACAATTTTTTCTTGATATCCGCTTTTACATTTTTCACTTTCCATAAGGGATAAAAATTAATTGAAATGTTAGATAAAATTACAAAAATTGTTATTTGTTATGCAAGGCTGGTTGAACTACGCGATTTGTGGTACATTACTTATTTATGTAATATGAAGCCGTTGATATATTTTATTCTTATTATTGTTGACATTAAATTGACAATGATAACTAATTGTGCTTATTAAATTATTTTAATTCGTTGAAGAACCAAAATAATTTCAATAATCACTTAATCACCGAAAATAAAAGTACAAGCAAGAATAATAATTGTTGAGGTGTAAATTCAGAAGATAAACTTTTTCTTTAAATTATAAAAACTGGTGTTTTATACGTGGTATGGTGTTCAACTGTTTTTCTTTCATCTATCATTTTCCTCGCTATAGTGAGGTTGTGATCTCTCGCTATTGTGAAAAGGTTGTGTTTCGTTCGGCAGCGAAGTTGTTTTGCGTCTCGTTTCGCTCGTAGTTCAATCTTAGCTTCCTTCGCTTGTTCAGTGAGGTGAAAACGTTTACTTTCAACTTTATATTTAAAAATTTCGTTAATCCTGGCACCTGGTGTCGCGGGGATTTTTCTACACAAACGCGGATTGTTATGTTAGCTAGAGAGTGAAAACTTTAGCATAATTAAAATCCAAATAGAATTTGAAAACAGGACGTAAATATTTTAAAACAGTCGTTAAAACCTAATTTCCCCTCCCCTGATTTTTTTTTTCGAAAAGCGACCTTACGCCGCCTTTTCTACAAAATACCGAAATATATACTAAACATAACATAACAAGGGTTTTAATTTTTAAATTGATTGAATGTCCCAATGTTGTACCACCTAGATATTCAATTTTTTTGTGAAATTACTCCACTAGTTTGTTACCTAAGTGGTTTTTTCGGTCATTCTCGGACTGTGAACACTTCACTACCTAATTCCGTGGCTATTTTATTACCTAATTATTCGATTATTTTATCGTACACTATTATTTAATAATTACACGATAATGTACTTGCGTATTTAAATAGTAAAAATTGCCACGGTAATTAGGTAGTGACATGCACCAATTGGTCCATGGTAGTGATCACTACTTCGAGAATGACCGTTTTTTCTTTGAATTGATGTAGTTATAGTAATTGTTTCGAACATCTTACTTCTGGTTGAGTCGTCGAACTTGTCCTCGAAGTTGTCATACTTCTCGTCAGAGAACAGCGGAGGGAGGGTCTGGTGCGGAGTGGGGAATAGGTCATCAAACTGCTTCTCATTGCACACGCTGGTTGTGTCGCTGTACGGCGACATCCTGAAAATAATTATAACATCGTATCAAGGAATGCAGTCTACTGCACAGGTTTTGTTTCCTTCTGCTTCAATTTCAGGCTAAATAACAGTTTTGGTTTCGGGATTTGTCTATTTGGCATAATGCATCAAATACAAATTCATGTTTTATTGGTTAGACTGTTTTTTGTTTTCATTATGTATAATTTAAATTTTTGTTAAGTTTTTCTTTATTCGTTGTTTCTTAATTATCATTGTGAGTGCGTGTTCAATAAATGTATTATCTACGTATATTCTTTTGGAAGGTTTTTCTTTAAAACTAGTTTACACTAAAACTTTTATTTAAATTTCACAAGATTCAGTCATACAATGAAAATGTCACAGAAGAAATAGGTCGAGAAACACAACAATGGGGAAACAATTTTTAGAAAGTCAAGATAGACTCGGCTCCGAGTGATTCACAATTATAACGAGTGATAAAAAGCAGTAAAAAGCGTAGATATAAGTTATTTCAATAAAAACACAGCTCATATCTCTAGATTTATAAGTAAAAAGATTTTATTTTTAACCGACTTCAAAAAAAGGAGGGGGTTGTCAAAGCGACTGTATTTTTTTATGTTACGCGATTATTACGACATTTGTGGACCGATTTTTCGACAATTTTTTTGTCGGAAAGAGGGTACCTCAATAGTGGTCCCATTCAAATTCGAAGAAAATATTCCACCTCTAAGGGTGGCCAATTACGGGATAAATCCTGTTTATTGGATTTCACCCACTTTCTATTAACCGTATTCAATAAAACTTGGCAAATAGATGTAATTCCACAAAACTTTTGAAGTTGAAAAAGTTATATTTACCTATTTGGAGACTATTTGATCAAAAAGCAACGAGAGTTAAGGGAGATTTAATTATCTTTCCAGTTAACATCTCTATTCATACAGAAAATAAGATGTATTGTGCATTTAAAAGAGCACTTGAAAAAGTTTCCTTTTTAAAATAAGCACACAAGCACGCTTTTCAATTTAGCACAAGCGTTAATATATAATCGATGTTTCATAAACAAGTTAATTCATCAATGTGAACAATAATTTTATTAATAAAAACAAAACTCTTCTTTTACAAATAAACTTGTCTTAAAACCTTTAATAGACTACTCTTGCTTTTCTCTTTCAACACAACGTTGCAAGCTTTTTTTAAACATAAAAGTCTATTCGCTTAAACGTTTTTCTAAACGATTTTGTTACCTTCAAACTAAAAAGTGAAAATGGTTTGAAAAAGCACGCTTTTAAAAAAAAGCACAACGCTTTAACGTTTTAAAAATAAGTAGTTTTTCCCATCTCTAATTGCACAATAAAGACCGCGAAAGAGGATGCAAGTTCTAATATCGGTTCATACCACTTCGTAGATACAGTATTATAGACGATGATTTCTTGCCTGATAACGAAAGGTCACGGCTAAGATTTTTGCTGTCGAGGAAACTTACTTGGTGTAATTGTCGAAGCAGTTGTAGTGCCATACGACGTAGGCCACGATGCCCATTAACAATATCACGCTCACTGTGACAACCAGCCATATCATCAGCACGCGGCCATCGTTCGGCACGGGGAACAACTGTGGGTGATGTAAATGTAATTTACCACTGGGACTTTGATCACAACAGGGAATATTCAAAAACCAAGACAAAGAAGTAAATAACTTTGATATCGAGCTCTTAGGCTTTCGCGATTGTTACAATTTCCAAAGAATTTTGATGCTAATCACAGTTCGTTTAGATTAGCTTGTCATCTTAATTAGGTTTTCATTCCACCTAGTGAAGGTCTGTTGTAGGTTTTCCAGTCACTCAAGAACCTATCGTTATTATATATTCTACTATACATTTCTACATCTTAAGAGCCACGTACCGTAACACCCAAGCGTCGAAGCCTTGCAGCGAACGGATCCTGGTGGATATTACTCTCCCACATGTCTATTAGATCCTTCTCATGCAGCCTCGGCATCCGGTCCTCATCTTCAACGTCGTCTTGATCGTCGTACACCAGTGGCACAGCGAACCTGACCGCCGTGCAGTTCCGGAAGTTTGGCCATTCAATGTTGCAGAAAGTCGCGTTCACGATTTGGGTGGTTTCTTGACTGGAATTAAAGAGATATACTGTAAATGAAAGTTCATATGGTTATATTGATTAAACCCTACCGGTCATTCTCAAAGCAGATAAGAATGAGCAAGTAATTCTTTGTAAATATACATTTGAATACAGTTATCATTTACAACGTTCATTTCAAACATCTTTGATTGAGAATACCTGAAACTGAAGGATACATTTTTTACAATAAGATTCCGGAGCACATATTAAGATTATCATTTCCTAAGTTTAAAAAACTACATAAAAAATATTTTTATTGAAAAGTCACATTACAAAATTGAAGACTACGCGTTGGATAAAGATGTATGAAAAGACGACATTGCTCTAGATTCCACACAAATTTGATTCAAAGTTTATTTCTCTAGAGTTTCTTATTCGTTCTTCTCAGGGAAGTCAGCGTACTGAACGAGCAGTAGCTTAAATGTGACGTTTTCAAGTGTAAATTTATTTTACCTATGGATTAAATGATTTCTTGACTTTGACTTTGACCTGTAGGAGCTAAACGGGCCTCTTTGTGTGTATTCTGTTATTCCCAAACGTGCATATGTTACTTGCAATCTTCAATTTACCTTCCTTGTTTTCTACCTGAGAGTCATAATAATAATTTACCTCGTATGTTCTCTCTATTTGTTTTCGTCGTAGCTCTAGCAGCATACCGCATTCGTTTGTGCTACTCTTTGGCACGGAGCCAGCTGTTAGTGTACTGGATTACCTGGTTAATTTATTATGCTGGTTGTGTTCTGCGGGTGTGTCTAAAAGAGATCGCATTGCTTCGGTTTTTGTCAAGTTTACATGTACTTTTTGTGCAATTTTTTTTGTTAGAATGAGGGTACTTCAGTATTGGTGCCGTTTAAAGTTGAAGAAAATATTCCACACAGGATATGAATCCGGTTTCGCGCACTTTCCGGTAACCGACTTCAAAAAAACTTGGCACATAAATGTCATTCCACGAACTTTTAAGTTATTTTCCCATTTCCAACTTTTTAAGTCTTCGAATGTATTAAAACTTACTTTTAAAAATAAAATAATGTGGTAAAAGAAGTAAAATATTCAATCTACAATATTTATGGTACTTTCTCTCTGTGTGTGCCATAAACGGGAGACGCCTACTAAATTACTATTTTAATCTATAAAATCTGTAATAGCCTTAGTTTACATTTTAATTGTAATACGCAATTGAGAGTTTCGAGGACTTCTCAAAGAAAGGCCAGGTCAAGAGTACCCTTACCCGACGAGCGTGTATGAAAGCACTGAAGCTTGTCGATAAGGTTAAAGGTGTGTCAGGACCGTAGCAAGTAGGCTGTGATCTTTGCCTACACCGATGAACCTTTGTAACCTAATTTCCATCACCATCCTCACCATCAGATGAGATTGTGGTCAAGCGTGTGTTTATTATTTGGAAAAAATCTACACTGCACTCGACGTGTAAAAACTAAACATTTATGTTTAAAAATAACTAGTTAGAAGTGAGTTAGATAATCAGAGTGTTACTTCAGATATTCGTAAGCTTATTAATCCCAAAAATGTGCTCTATATTTAGCGCCCAAGGAGATAAATATTTTCTTCATAACAACCTACACTTTATTTACAGCCACTTACAAATTTCAACTGAATTACAAAAACAACTTCAAAGTTGTACATTACAGTATCGTTGAACTCATTTTTAAAGCTTCCTTCGTGTATCTGCGAATATCACAAAATAATGCTGTAGAGATTCGTATCGTGGTTGATGTTTTAAAAGCGAGGTATTTGAAAGCGATCTTAGGAGATAGCGCCGAAGAAGAAGAACAAGCGGAGAAAATTTCACATTGATCCGACGTCGCCAAGCGCCCGATGGCGGCTGACGGGGCAGCGCGCGGCGCAGCGTGACGAACCGTGGGACAATATTTCAATATTAATTGAAAACCAAAATTTAGCAGGTTCACTGTAGTATTCAAGAGAAATGTCACTATTTTATTCTTAAATAATTCATTTTAGACCTTTATTTCAGCCTGTTCCCGGGATTTTATTATAATATGTTAAAGTACATCCTATCGTATAACAAATTATCACATTCTTTGGACAATATCCTTAGGTGTATCGTATATTTTTTGTAAGATCGTTATTTAATAGTAAATACATAAACCATTTAATCTAGCAAAACAGCTTTTCCTGTTTCTCTTCCGGCGACTCGCCTTAATTAATATAGAACGGTGTTATTCAAGTACCGCACAATAGATACCGACTGCTTCAACTTATAATAATGGGACGGGTTGAAGGCAAAAGACGCGCTGGAAGAAATAAAAAGTCATGGTGACGCAATATCAGGGAGTAGACCGGAGTCACGAGGGCAGAACAACTGTTTTGTTTGTTTTGATGTGGAATGTATGAAAAAGTAGTGGAGAGGCAATTTAAAAAGAAGAAGAAGGTATCCAAGAGGTCGATCACATTGTGAAATTACGGAGACATGGGACTTGTCGACTTATGTCTCAGGGTGACGGGCGCAGTGGCAGTGCCCCTCAGATCTTTGCGAGTTAAAGCTCTGCAGCAGTTATGGATAGACGTGTCACTTACCACACTTACACTTACCACCAGGTAAATGACTTGTTCGTCCCGTCACTTGGTGTTATAAAAAATTTAAAAAACCTATTTTAGGGGCACTGCCACTGCGCCCGTCACCCTGAGACATAAGTTGACAAGTCCCATGTGTCTGTAATTTCACCAGCACCCTTACACTTCTAAACCGAAACGCAGTAATGCTGACATTACCGCTTGGCGGCAGAAACTGGTAAGCGGTAATACTTCCCTGGACGAACTCTGTCACAAGGAACTCTACTGCTAGTGGAGTATTTAAAAAGATAATGTTCAATAAAATAAATATTACGCGTTTTAAGACCAGAGAAACGCGGCTGGAGTACAATATTATTTTAAATGATGCTAAAGAACATATTGAAATATGTTTGCAGTGCATTAAAAATTATAATCACAACATAGTAACAGTAATTGAAGTATCACAGAGTAAGCTAATGTACAACAGGCTGCCTTATGGCTAAGTAATAATTTATTTCAGGCAATCATAAAAAATACTAAATACATAACAAATTTACGTACTTTAGCATCATAAGCTAGCTTCTTTTAAAATATACTAAGTTTAAAAGAAGCTAGTGCCAAGGTCAGATGTTGGTAAGTAAGGGGACAAAATATTTGCATTCTAAGCAATTTTGACCATTAGAGCATTTTGACCTTAATAAGTACTAAAACTTTACTCACCTCTAGTGTTGTACTCAGCTATAACGTTTTAATTTATTTTACAAAGCATATTATAAAGAACACTATTTATTACACTAATAAAGACGGATTTTGGGACTATGACGTCACTATCATATATTTACTTTTAAAACATATATTTAATTTATCTAGCAACAACGAGTAAGTACGATTTTCTTAATTCATAAGAACAAAGGTTTTATTTACAATACTTTTGCACATTGTTTTATAGCCATTTATATATATATATCTTGTTTTATTGTTTATTTAATTATTTACTTCCGCAGTCTTGTTAAATATATTTACAGCATTTGAAATTTCGATATGTCTGTGTTCACTTTTCTAGTCCTTCGCATTCGATGCCAAAGTCTACACACACGAAAGTGTATTGAAAAAAACCGAATCTCCAAACCTCATACAAGCTTTTCTTCCGTAAATTTTTTTGGGTTCTTCAATACCTGCACAGTATTGTCGGATTTGACTACACAGTTAACTTTTGTCTGTTCAGGTAATTCATTAATTTCATTATTGTTACTATTAACTCTATTTTCAGTTACTGTGACTTTAGTTTCTTTGTTTTCAGATTTTACATCGTTGTTATTGTCTAATCTTATTTCTTCTACTGGCAAGTTTAGGTCAGATTTCTTAGTGGCTATTTTTTCTTTATCTATATTCTTATTCTGAGATTGTGGGTAGTGGTGCAATATAGCTTTTGTATCGAAAGTTATTTTACCATACTTAACGAATTCAGTTGGTCTCTTAGGCTTATCTCTGCTTGTACTAGGGCCAGCTAATTCAAAATCGCTTGGACTGTCCCTCAGCCTTATACGAGATATACCACGACTTTCTTCAGTAATACTATCGTAAATATCCTTGTTATCTTCAAGTAATCCTAAAGCGACTTGTTTGCTTTTCTTAACATTTTCTACGTAACTATTATATAAGTTCATATCTACTGTGTTATTTTGTTTCAGTGGCAATGAGTTTGGCAATATCTTCTGAGGCTTCTCCTCAGCCGTGTATCACAATTGTTTTTGATTCGCTTGGCTTCTGTGGTTTGCTGACTCGCTCTTTGCCGCGGTGTGGTCACGCGCGGCGTTTGTTAGCTATGTTTGGCTCTGCACCATCGAGATACTAGTCGTCTCAGTGACAATGGTCGGCGCAGGGAAGTCATCTCCAGTCGAATCGTACATCGGATATTCGCAGCAAAGGATAAATTTCAGGAATTTTGGCACTTCGACGTAAATAGCCGGCAGTATCGGTATCAGAGGTGACGTAGACGCCTTATAATACAAATAATCTGGATTATCACGATATTTTTCGTCCGCCGATCGTTCTAGCAATGGTATACCAGATAGGAATAATATTATAGCCGTTGTAAATAATGGAGATAAGATTGCTACCCATTCCGCTCCTTCGATTACATTAAGTGATAATATAAAGATACCCCACCATAGAACAACTTCGCCGAAGTAGTTTGGATGTCTTGACAGACCCCATAGGCCATCATTGCACCACTTTCCTTGATTCGCTGGTTCTTGTCTGAAGGCAAACTTTTGCAAATCCGCATAAGTTTCAATCAATAATCCAATTACAAACACTCCTGCGCCGGCAGAATCTAACGTGGTCATGGTTTTTGGAGACTTTGGATAAGAATGATGTGGAGAATTTATAATTATAACAGGCAAACTAACAATATACACCCATACCGCTTGGAATGTATAGAAGACGGCAAATCTTAGCGTATTACTTTTACGATCTTCAAATTGTTTATCTCTACCAATGTGGTAGATTCTGTAGATCAAGTATCCAGAAAGCCTGACACCCCATAAGCAGACAAACGCTGTGACCATGAGTTGTCTGCTGTCATAATTCTTCATATGATTCGATTCCTGACCGAGGAAGAAAGTAAGTAAAGCAATGATGATAAAATTGGCACCACCAGTGAAATCTGTCACTTTGTCACTTTGAGATAAAGATGCAATTGTGAAGAACAGTATCTGCATTGCAACGGTGACCATTGCGCTTATAGCGAAATTATTCTTATCTATAAAAGGCTCCATGTTTATATTTTTTGACACTATTTGTTTAATTTGGCATCGGGGAATTGTTCAATCGATCCGGGGCAGTCGCATTGCCGCATTTTGCTTTTTGACACTATGTTTGACTGTTTAAAAATTTTGTAACACTCCGGTCTAACATTTTCACTTCTAACTTTCTCTACCTTACCTAAATTTCTTTACTTTATGTTGCTATTTATTTATTAATACTTTTAAAATGGATTTTAGTTAATATACTGGTTTGGTTTTTTAATAGACTTTTTGGCGTGGTGTCTCGTTCCCGAAAGCTTGGTGTACTGAAATAGACGTGACGTTTGCACTGCGCATGATCGGAGCTTTCTGTTTCACGCATGCGCCTTGAGCGAAACACGCAGCCCTCAATGTTATTAAAATATCTTACTTCTATTTAAATCTAATCTACCTAGTTAATCGTTATTTCCACCTTTGATTGAACTTACAGTAATTTGATATTTCTGTCTGACAGAAGTTTAATGTAAGTATCCGGTAAAATTAATTGTCTTATAGGTTATAGAGCATGTCCCAAAAGTTAGTGAACTAGGTCAAAGTGACGTAAAGCAATGCGGCAACACCCCGTATATGAATATAAGCATAATAGGTACACTAAGTCAGTGTCGTGTTGTGCCTACCTGTTTTGCTATTATTTATTAATACTGTTATTCAGTAGCACTGTTTTAGATGTATTCACTTTTAAATTGATGCAAACCTCAAATTAATCCAATGATTATGAACGAATTTATGGTTATTGTTTTACACCAGGTACATAATTTTTAATTTCTTTGAGTCACACTATTATTGTCTGTATATGCGGCATTTACTTCACATCCGTTCCATTGTTCGGTATGGATAAGGTTTGTAAGACGCCTGTGGCTTTTTTCATGGCGTTTACTATTGCACACAGCTGGATATAGGTCTAGTCAAAGAAAAATCATTCATTAGCCAAGTGGATATGGCCACAGTCCGTCTCAGATCAACTAGATGTAACTGTATACGGTCGGGCAATTTGCACGAAGCATTCTGCAATCGTTATGCGTACAGCCTAGGATTGTTCTGCATCAGCAACCCCTTATACATCCCACTGCTGAGCATGGGTCTCTGCTAAGGAGACAATTTGTGCCTTATCGTGCTAAGCCCTTTGAACTTGTTGGTTGTGAACTTTCTTCGGCATGCAGGTTTTATCACAATGATTTACTTTCATCGATCGTTAGCGAGAGGTATTCTACGAAACATTCACAAATGTAACTTAGAAATTAAATTCATAGCTACATGCCACCATGGGGATTCGAATCGTCGACATTTTAGTCACACAACAACTTTTCTTTCTCTTTTGGGTGTGACAAGTATTTTTCACGAAGCGTTATGCTTCCACATTTATAATGGCGTACGGCAATGAAGTGGAATTTCCTGCTTGCAGATTTGTTCCCTGAACGCTATGACTTGGTATTGGTGTGCATGCTCCATCATTGACCTCATCCTCACGAATGAGTCAAATGCACATTTATTTTATTCATAAAAAAATGTTTATAGTTAGAGTGAACAAGTCCATCCGCGTCCACCTCTTCACTCCAGCGATAAATATTGTGTGCAAACTTATAGCTGACACAAATTAAAAATATTGCGTCTTTCATTATATGAAAAACAAAGCAGTAAATAAATTATCCAAAGATAACAAAAATCGGAAATAGCTAAAACGATAAACTTGTAGATTATTTTACATTTTCTCTATATACAAAGTCCGAATATGTATTCTTTATGTTTTTTAATGACGTAAAATTAAGGCACGTCGCTTCCGTTATCATTATTTTGTACAGAGATTTCCCTTTCTGTTAAAGTTAAGTCAAGATTTCGCTTTGTATTATTACATTTTATATTTTTTTAATTTGACTATTTTGCTGAAAGGCTTAGTTACTTGGAAGAAACCTCCTAAAGCGATAATATGTCGAATAAAAATTATGTGTTTTGTAATATTTTCAATAATATAATAAATATAATCAAGATACTCATGGTGCCATGAGATTGGTTAATCTAAATTTCCTACTTCATTTCACGCGATATTAAAGTAATGCAATTGATCACCTTACATTTCTATTAGCCACTAAGTTTCCTTCACCATTGTTAACGCGAATTACAAAAGCTGAATTACTTACGTGGTGTTGAGTCCCATTTTAATGTCATTTTCGTTGATGTAGAACGTGGCCATATCAGCGACTAAGAGACGGAAGTCTTCTTGTATGTTATCCACAAACTCAGTTGCATTTACTCCACCTAGGTAGACCCACATGAACGACGTTGGCGTTGGCAGCACGATTTCAGCGTCGTTGTCCTCATCGTTCCATGTCATGTCTGGATACCGGGTAGGTACTGGAATTACCGATGGAGACATAATTAAATTTTTTATTTATCTAAAACTCAACCTAATTCTTTGTGAATAACAATAATTTTTATTTATCTGTATAGGCTGTTCATACACTTCATATCAGATTGCTGTGTATATGGCAATCCAGGGCAACTATCTAGAACTTGAAACTGGGAATACTCACAAATATGTTTAACGCTTAAGCTAAAGCCATACTCGGACGACTCGATGCCGTCGAGCTGTGTCGTCGAGTTTGAGCCTGTCACGAACCGAATGAACATTCTGTCTACCCCGAGGAACCGGTACATTCTTGGCTGGCGGAGCTGCCACGTAAAGACGAAACCATCGCTGTCTGCATCGTTTTGACCACCTATGGAAAGTCGTTAACATCCACGCATCAGCTTTCAATCGAAAGTAAGAGGTGTTTGTATTTTGTATTCGCCATTGAAAAAGTTATTTTTGCCCTACCAATTTATGCAGCAATCCTGAACTGTTGTTTAGCGGATTAAATAGACTTAAGATACCATAGCGACTTAAGATATACCTCAACCGACAACATGTTTACTATTATTATAGAAACGATATTTCGTTGCATTCCACGGACTGTATGTTTGTCATTATATATCATAGATTTACATGAAAAGACGCTTTAAATAGTCTTCTGTATAGATAATAGTACTATGTCGTTTTGTAATAAAGCCGTAGGGAAATTATAGCTCAACATCTTTTCATCACATTGCATGGTGGTAACTCGACTGTAATGCCCCAAAAATAACATATTTTTTCTTTTCACTACAGCCATGATCGGTAAAGGAGTTTGTTTAATTTATAACGCGACATACTTTCTTACATATGTTAGGTTCAAGTTCAAGTAAGGAGGTTATTTAAGTTCAAATTTTAAACATTCGCTTAAAATGTTATCTAAACAGATATTTACTACTTAAATACGTATTATTAACAATTCGTTATAATTGATTTTAATCATTTTCTGTATATTTTTTACAATCCATCGTGGCTGTATGCGTGTTTGCTATTTACAACATTTTAGTTCGAGTTGCATTGTCTATGGAAGAATTAAAAAGAAAACAAATATCCCGCCATTTGCCAAATCCATAATTGTTGTGAACCATATTATAAATACTTACTTCCTTTCAAATCTGATTAAAAACATTATATGTATCACGGACGGTAAAAAATATAAAACGAGTTATTAAAGCCCTCAGGCTCAAAAATTGGGAAACACGAAACCAATGACAATGGCATCACAATCTTCGCTAGTAAACATTATTTCATAACACGAAAACATTTTCTGTGCTATAATATAAAGTCTCAACACAGTTTGAAACGTGCTGTAGTAGTTGTTTTATTGTCATGCATGACACATGGTCTCAAGATTTAAATATTGCATTGTACAATTGCCTGGTTTCTATTTATATCATAGTAGATCAAGGCAATTAATAATTTGCTAGTCGTAGATATTAATTAGCAAATGCATCTTCCCCATGATATGTTAGTATGCATTTAATTATTAATTTTATTTCTTTAGTGGCAATACACATAAATATATTTACCTGGTATAACCAAAAGATATTGCCCGACGTCCCCATTCAAATTCAAAGATGTAATATTAAATTCAATACCAGCTCCATCGCCGTCTAAAATCCAGTCGTAGACCTCATTAGCTGGATAGCTATCTGGGTTCGTAATTAATACAGCCTGATCAGCACTTAAATTTTTGTGTATTGGAGCTCCAGTGACTTGGTTTATTCTGGAGTAAGTATCTAATTCTTCTTTATGCTTTACAATGAAGTCTTCCATCTGCTCATCATATGCCTCAGATGTTTTTTCTGTATCTGCTGTACGTATTACGTCGACATTTTGAACATTGCCGTCAAGTTCTTCTTTTAATTTGTCAACAACAAATTGTAAATTTTCATTATCGTTTACAAGGTTATCAATAGGATTTTCGTCATAAATCGCGTCATTGCCGTAAGATTTTTCTTTTGTTAGTTTGATTTCTTCCTCAGTATCGACGCTTTGTGTGGATTTTTGAGCTGTCATAGCATCAACATTGTCTTGTAAATCTTGACCATTGAGAGTTTCAGCTTCTTTAAAAATATCACTGAGATTGCTATCAATATTTACCACTTCACTGTTATCTTCTTCTTCGGGTAGTTCATCATCTACGTCTTCATAATTTTTAATAGGTTTAAACAACTTTGACTCATCATCTTTGTTCTCTATAGCGTTCTCGTCAGGCATTTTTTCCAAAAGGTCATCACTGTAATAAAATTCAAAAGAGTAATTTTCATCATCTTGGTCTGGTTCATCGTTATCTTTGAGTACTGAATCCACGGGTTCATCTAATGTTCCCAAATCATAATTACTATTGTCGTCTTTATCAACTTCAGATTTTTTACTTTCATTTTGATCGTTTGCAATATCTTTTTTTAACATAGTATCAAAATCGCTACCATAGGCATTTATTTCCTCCTTACTATTTATTTTTTCTTTTGACATTGTATCATCGTCCGTATCAACTTTTTCACGATTTTGACTCTCTTTCTCGTTCGACATGGTGTCAACATCCTCTTTAGATTCCACATTATTTGACACTTCGTCTTCGATATCATCGTCGTGATGTAATTCTCCTAAAGTATTGTCATCAGCATTATTGTCCTGGTTATCGTTAAGTACTTCTTTAGAAATAGTAATGTCTTTTTTTTCACTTAAAGTATTCTTAAATTCTTCCAAAAACAATTTATCCTGTTCATCTTCTGCTTCAATGTAGTCGTTTCCATAAAAAATACCATTATTTTTAATCTGAATTTCACTCTCATTAATGTCTTTATTTTCACGAGAAGTGCTCTCAGCAGGATCTTCGATATTTGATCTATTATCTTCAAATTGATAATTATCTAAATTGTCGCCATCTGCACTAAGTAATTTTCTGTAATTTTCTATATCATCAAAAACTTTCTGGTCACTATCTGGAATATTATCATCCTCATCCAAACTAAAACCACCATCATTATCAAAATCATCGATGTTTTCAACTTTATCATTCAATATTCCGATATCAGAAGCTTCGGAATCGTTACCTAAAAAATCATTTCGAGAATCATTTTCTGTGGATATATTTTCACCTTCTTCTTTTAGGTATGTGCTTTCAGGTAATACTAAATTTGTTTTTTCAATTTCTTTACTGTCTGGTTGCAATTCTTCACTAAAATCGTAATATTCATAACTGTCATCGGCTGAAACAAAGAAAAAACAACTTTAGTTAGAAAAAAATGAAAAGTTTTGTTTTTTGTTTACATCGCTATAAATCGATCTCGATTCGATAACTCAAAACAGCTTCTAATATGTGATATAAGATTGATATTTATTAAACATTGGGATGATTGTAATACTTTTCACGCTAGGTTAAATTTCACGCTGACTATTTACAACAGAGAAAAACAACATTAAATTACACAGAAAATGATAACAAGCTTAAATAAAAGAAATACTGATAATGTAAAGTGAGAAATGGATTTCAAATTTAATGACAGGCACTGCTGAAGCAGCACTATCATTGCTTGTGCTGCGCTTTTGACACTGCTTTGTAATGCGGTGTAACTACGAAGCCGATAGAGTTCTTTCTTTTTTGGTTTGTACATGAAATTGAGGACTAATAAGTAACATTTGTAACGCTTGCCTTTTCGTGTAATGTGTGCAAATAATAACGTCTAATAAGGTCAATGGCTCAGTAGTCACACATTAATTTCATTCGTGGCAAATTTCATTGTTATTTTTCTAGTTATATTTAGACAGACTAATTACGATTTCGTGCTTCCAAAATTGAAATACACTCATGGTACTAATTAGATGGTATGTTTTTAAATGTAAATATTTATTGAATAAATGAAATTGTATTCATTTACGTCGCTGATCAGGTTTGAAGAACAGTATTATCCTGTTTTCTCAGAAAACGCAATGATTTATAACAATATTTTCAAGTAACAACAAGTTCGTAATTAATAGTATGTATGACTCAAATAGATTTACTCATCGTTTAAATTGAACAAATATTAAATTGTAAATGTTGACATATTCCGAATGAGATCTATACAGCCGGCACTTTAGGTATTTGCTCAATAACGTCCAAGTATCTTTACATGCTTAACTCCCGAAACAAAAAAGGGAAAGTTTGAAGTTCTTTCTGTCTGTTTGTCCGTGATATTGTAGCTCCTAAACGGATGGAAAGATCTGAAAGCGGTTTTTTCTTAATTGAAGACTATTTTAATTAGGATGGTTTTTAGCTATATCTATATAATATGTATAATATCTGTTTAGCTGTCTAAAGATCATCAAGCTCTTTTCCCAGTTAGGAATCTCAGTCATTATACGAATATTTATTTATACTTCTATGGATTAACTTGAAAGTTTGTTATAATTATTAATACAAGCATCGTACACTTAGAACAAATTCCTTTGATCCGGCTGGATTTGAACCAACGTCTTCTAGCAAACTGTGCCAGGCGCTATGCCAACTAAACCACGAAACGAACTAGCGGACCTTATTAATTATTATAATGTGATTTAACGACTTTTTGCCGCAGCGCCATCTGTGAGAAATCTATTTCTTCACTCTAGTCAGCTGCTAGTAGCTGTAAAGGTAAAACAACCAAAATCTTTTGAAGGGTAAGGGTGCTGGTGAAATTACAGGCACATGGGACTTGTCAACTTATGTATCAGGATGACGGGCGCAGTGGCAGTGACTCTCGACCTTTGCGATTTAAAGCTCTGAGTGGCACTGCAACTGTTATGGACAGACGTGTAGCTTACCATCAGGCGCAGGACTTACGCCTTAAGGTTCCCACATAGGGGCAGGCAGAACTCTATGTGACACAGTGTAACTAAAGCCACATTTGGCAAATGTTTGCGTTGACGTTGTATACAATCTTGTGGAACTTAGTGCACCATAGAGACAGGTTGCCAGCCTATCGCCTACATATAGAACACCATAACATGCGCGGGATGATAAGCAGCTGGTACATTTTATGTTTTTCATTTGGTTCCAGATCAGCATTGATTATAAAATTTGTCTTATATAATAAATGTTGTGGGCATAACTAACAATTCCAATATGTAACAATTCCAAGTATTATTTGTTATCTGTAAGTGAACCATATTAAAATAAATTAAATAAAATAACCAGTCGACTTATCTACTTACTTATCTAATAAACACGAGTCTTTCAATGGAAAGGGCAGTCTATGAATTTCCGTTCTATACCGCCTAGGCGTGGAAGTAAACTAAAACCATTATATATCCCCGCTATTGGACATAAGTCTTCTCTAAAGATGTCCAGACGTTCTCACACTTTTTCTTCCAGAGGTATTGCTATTAAACACTCACAAATGTACGTAACTTAGAAATTGAAGGCTTAAGTACTTGCCGATAGGGACAGCCCCATATCTTTCTACATAAGTTTAGTTTATAATGACCCTCCCTACTAACCTCTTGGTTATTGCGGGAAGGGCACCTGTGCGAGAAAGTCCGCACGGATACCATTTAAGTCAGATCGTTTCCACGGACTTCATCCCGTTCTCAAAATTGGTAAGCCGCCCCGGGTGCACGTACAGCACCCTCCCTATTTTCCAGATAGGTACAGGAGCTGTAGGCACGTTTACTTACCGTTGCGCTCTGCGCAATTAACGGTTGCCACCGCCGCCACAGGCTTAGTAAACATTGACCTCTCAAATGAAAAGCAACCTTCCTTTTATTATTGGTAGGTGTAATATAATCTTTGGCATTGTGGCAGGCGTCGACCATCCAAGTCGACGCGTAAGGGATACACCGCACTTATTAACGCAGAATTAAGCATTAAGCTGATCAGAAAGTTTCGTTCGTGAACGTAAGAGCGAAAAAGACGTTGTGCGTTTCATATCGGTTCGTACGAACGCGACTCGACACAGCCTGGCAACGAATCTGGGGTCTCTCCCGTTCTCCGACCGACAACCGTCCGAAATAAGCTTTTTTATGTTATCAAATGACGGGACGAACAAGTCGTGCGCCTGGTGGTAAGCGACACGCCGGTCCATATCAGTTGTTCACTCATAGCCTTAACACACACATAGTACGTAAGACATATAAGTTGACAAGTCCCATGTGCCTGTAATTTCACCAGCACCCTTACTTTTTAAAACCGGAACGCAATAATGTTCACATTACTGTTTAGCGGCAGAAATATGTAGGTAAGGTGGCAGTACTTCCCTGGACGAACTCTTTCACAAGGAGCTCTACTGCTGCTAAAGCTCTACTAACACTATTGCATGATGCGAATGACGCTTCATACTGGACATGTTCTTTTGATTTGATCGCATATTACGTATTTGTCAGTAGTTGTTCCGGATGGAGAACGGAAGTTTAGTAACTCCTTTAGGATGCATGCCGCGTCGCACCTAAGAATATCCCAGTATTGGCGTCGTGCGTTTGTACGTACGGATGCCGAAGGATCCCCTGCCGAGCCATCCCGTTGAAAGATAAAGCTACTTATAGACGCTGAAACTTTCATGGCCAATCATTACTGCGACGTAAAACTTCAAGTGGTTTCAAGTACAATTGATATCTATTACTTCTTATATTACAATAGTCACATTAACTTTAACATTAAACCAAATAGTCATCCTAAAACCTTTGTGTTAAATGTTTATAGTAATAATACAACCTTTTATAACCCCGTGGCTAGAATGTGCCGAACCTACAATGATTTACTAATATCAGAATCTGGAGGTCACATTGATGTTTTCGTTAACAATCTTAGTCGAATTCGTACCAATCTCCTCAAATATTTCAACTCGTCTTCTCATTAGTACTGCCAAATGAATATCTATGTAAGTCTTTAGTTGCATTAGTTTTATGTTGTGATCCCACTTTTCCACTTTTTCTCACTTATTCCTTTCTTTGTTTTTTTTTTGTAATCGTTATGCAAATATGTTTAAACTTCGGATAATAACGCTGTATATACAAGTGTTAGGTCTACATGCTAGATTAAGACCATAAATTGTATCTCAACATGTTCCACTGAATGTAGACTCTTTTGTACATCCAATAAAATAAAATAAATAGTCAGCAACCGATTATCTACCATATTACCATAAAGATAACAGTATAATTATGATACTTAGAACTCTCTTTGATTAGACACGTCGTCTTTGTTTTAAATATTAGTTGTTTTACTAGGGAAGGTCGAGTGGCACTTAATGAAAGATAGTGACAACTTAAATTGTCTTTGAACGAGCTCCGTGTGCAACAGTGGTACGTATTGGGTAAATCATTCGAACAAGACCTACTTTTATCTATGGAATCGTTTACGTATCCGACTATAAATGTTCGGCTTTCTTACCGTCTTCCCACAATCCGCCCTTGCTTTTTCTTTGTTCACACAATTTGTTGTAGTCGTTTTACAATAATACCTAAGTACTAAGTTAACGCATACAAATTAATATATTTTCCTTTTAACGGAATGAGTAATCAACTGTTTTAAATATTTGTGTAATAATTTTAAATAGTTACTTATTGTTATTCAGAGGTATTTATACCTTATAGAATCTTTTTAAAATGTCGCAAGTAGAAATCAATGTCGTCACTAAACGAAAAAGCAATTTTGTAGCGATGAAAGTTTCTGAAATAAAGTTTTAATTTTTAAGAAGCGAGAATTTAGCGAGCGGTATATGAAATTCACTACGTATATAAATCAGAAAGTCAAAAAGAGTTTCAACAATGTGGAAAACAGGGAGATTCTATTAGATGAACGTCACGATTTAACCTTCCTGATGCTCTACAAAAGACCCTGTGTTTATCAGAAGGACAGTAGTTAGTTTCACTTCACTAAATAAATAATATACGGAAACGTCATGTTTTCTGCAGTTCATTGTTCCTGATAATACTTATAAGTTATTCTTTTTATGCTGTAATAAGGTACCATCTGTGTCAACTTTAACTCAATGAAAATCTGGTGCCTTTTTTTATAATACCAAATGACGGGACGAACAAGTCGTGCGTCTGATGCTAAGCGACACGTCTATCCGGTTACGGATGCAACTGTTAAGTTGCAGTGCCATACAGAACTTTAAATCGCAAAGATCTTATGGACACTGCCGTTGCACCCGTCACCCTGAGACATGGATGCTACAATCTTAAGCAATGAATGCTATCTTGGATGATACAATCTTAAGGAATGAAGGCCCTGTAATTGGTTAAGACTTTACTACAATCTTGAACGCTGAACAAAGTTTCATTTATAAAAGGAAATTGTGACAACTATCAAATGTTGCGCAATCAATGAATAATTCTTGGTATGTGATCACTCAAGTGATATTAAATAAAGGCAGTAGATTAGAGTAAGACCATTAGAGCGATTGTGAGCTGTATTTAAATACGAGCCTAATATTTTTAATAAAACATTTAAAAAGGTCACTATTGACTGACGTGACCGCTGTCATATCATGAAATTGGTAATAGTCTTCAAAACGGTTTGCAATCATGAATATTTTGAGCTTGGTGCAATCCAGGTCGGGTAAGGAGAGAGCTTTAGCACGGTGATGTTCCTTACAGGTAGAAACTGTCTGAAGCTCCAACAGGCAGGCACAATTTATATCACTATTATCTAATTATAGTTCTTACCCAAAGGTATAACTGGGATATACTAGTGCCACCTATACCAGTACAGGTATGGTATAACTGGGATAAACTAGTGCCACCTATACGATTACAGGTACAAATGGAACAGGTTAGAACCACTTATAGCATGAATGGTATATATTCAATGGTATAACTAGTCCGAAGACATATAAAGGCCGTGACGAAGGAGCTACGGAAAAATCTTTCCACGAGTGCATGCAAGCGTGGTGGAGAAGTATTAGAAAGTCAAAAGCCTTACACTCCAGGGGGGTTGCTTTGAAGGGGAAAATTCAATGTAAAGTTTGAGTGTGAAAAAAATTTTTCTGACAAACCTCGTATACAAACCAAAATTTTAATTGAAGGAAACAATAGGTTCGTCATTAATGGATTAAATGTTTTGCTCAAGCATTATTATATATATTATCACAGACAGGTTCAGATTTATACAACCAAGTTTGGCTAAGATAAGCAAGAAATTATAGTGTTAACTCAAAGATTAATTTTATAGAGAAGGGTAGGGTTCTGGTGAAGTTACAGGCACTTGGGACTCGTCAATTTATGTCTCAGGGTGACGAGTGCAGCGGCAGTACCTCTCAGATCTTTGTGATTTAAAGCTCTGAGTGGCACTGGAATTGTTATGGACAGGCCGCTTACTATCAGGCGCACGACTAGTTAGTCGCGTCATTTGGTTTAATAAAAAAATTCTTGCTTAAATTAAGGTACAGTTATATAAATGCGTTGCAACATAAAATAGTTACAAATATCGCACCCACAATAATAAAGTGACTAATTCGAAAAGCAAATACTGGTAATCTAACAAAATAGATTTATAAAAATTTATCGGTCTGGTATCAGTCATATACAGCTTTTGGGTGGAGCAAAAATAAAAATATATCTGTTATCAAAATTATTTTTCTTGTGAAATGCGGTGTACTTAGACATCACGTGTTTCATTAAAGATACTATATATGGCGGGTGGACACCGTGGACACAGACATAGACAACCATAAAAAACACCCAAACTTACGAGAGAAATAAATGTAGGCCATGCAAATACTTCTCCCGGCCTGGGAATGGAACACGGGACCTCTGCGTGGCAGCCCAGCATAATCACGGTTCGGCCACGGAGGCATTTATGTTGGAAATTAAACTCATACCTCCATCCACATTCGCTCTATAAATTTGTGCCGTTAATCTACCAACGTTCATTCTTTCTACATAACAAAACAATCCAAGCATCTCCAACCTGGTCACTACATCATGCCTTATACCACAACGTTCTCTTGCTACACTGTCCGGCATTCCGTCTTTAAGGCCTATAAACACTAAAAAACTAACATATACGTTTTATGTTTAGTTAAAAAAAAACAAATATACGTAAATGGAAAAATAGTTTCAATTCCAATCCCGATTATTTTTCAACGTGAAACCAACAGTATTTATATAAAAAAATTACTAAAGTATATATCGTATATCCACCTTAATTTACTTGGATAAGATTAATTTATATTGAATGTACAAATATTTGACGCTCACTGTACACATGGACAGCCATAGGTCGTAATCGTTTATAATGACCCTGTTATAAATTATCGGTCCTACGTATTAATCAATTAGGTATATTACCTTTTGTAGTTCGAAAAGCTACACCAATAAACAAGAAACAAATCCACAACTTCATTTTCACTTTTCAATAAAATAACGTAAATAAATAAAAAAACATTACAAACATAAGAAATGGCAAATAATAATTAATTAACAAGATTGGCAATACACGTGCGATCGGCGCAAGAGTCGGGCGTGAACTGAATAAAGATAGAGATGATACGCTATCACGAATCAATACGTGATATGACAGGCAAGTGATAGCGCAAAGCTGCTTTTATAAAATGATATTTTAAAGATTGTCATAGTCTTTCACTGACGAGTATAATTCTCTATAGAAGGGGATGTACCACAATCTCCACGCTGGAGAATCACAAGTACAACAAATGTACAAACTTGCAGGGAAAAATATCTTACCGTAAAATCATCCTGTCTCTTAGTGGAGTAGGTAGTGACTACGGAACTCTACTTTTGACATAAAACTGGTTGGCACGGTTATATCCTGTGAAATGCTGGTCAAGAATCGTGGTAGTCTAGTGGGAAAAGATTATTCACTTCTAAACAAAGAAGCCGATAGTTTGGGTCCCGTCAAACACTCTTTATTTCTCTTTATTACAAACAAATCACACTTCAAATCGGCATACTGATTTTACGACACTGCTCATTCGTAAGGCAGATTCCCCTGAGAAGAATGAGCAAGAAACTCTAGGGGTTGCTCTTTGTAAATATACATTTGAAGACATTTATCATTACAATATTTAATTTAAACACCTTAGATGGAAGAGCTAAACGGGTCACTACCACGGATTTTTGTCATCCAAGTACTTAACTACTGTACACCTGCACTTTTAGTATAAAATTTTATACCGTATTTGTGTGGAATTTGAGGCTTTATGAAGACGACTGTCAAGAACAGCTACTTCATATTTTTATGTTAAGTCTGTCACTAATTTTCATAAAAAAAATTTCTTAATTTAAATAACATTTTCATAAATGTACTCTGATGTTAATGTAAGAATGTTAATCTCTTTAAATTTATCTCTCAAAGACACTTTGCGGCCCAGATTGTAAATTGCCCTAACTGCACGTATCTGCAGGACAAATATTCTGTTAATATAGGCGGCATTACCCCAAAGCAAATTAAACAACCAGCACGTCAAAGATGATTCACAACTCTTGGATGATGAGTGCAGTCCTTCATCCACATTGGGCGTGGCGGTCTATGGTATAAACCCTCTCCTTAGACGTGCAACATTCCGAGACTAAGGGTCGTATTCTAGAACTCTACTCAATGCTCAAGTCAGGGCTTGAGTATGATTTAAATCACTGAACTTGAGCATAAGAGTAGAGTTCTGGAATACGACCCTAACAGACAAATTTTAACTAAAGTTGCTTTATGTACGTTTGCTATTCAAAAAACATCAGGCGCACAAAAACATGACATGAGGTTCTCCACTCTATTGAGTCTCTTTGTTTGACAATAAAGAAGTAAATAAACCTTGTGATCACATTCCTTACGTGGAACCAAGTAGCATACAAGACACTCTACTCTTATGTTTCCATAGCGAATTCAACCACAACGTGTACTTGATTTGTTCAAAAATGGTTCCACTAAACAACCGCAAACCTATAATATAATCGTGCGATTTCTAGCAGGCAAATACCGTTCCTTTTGAAATAGGTGAGACTTGTAATTTGTTGTTGATAACATATTACTTATCAGTTCCTTACTTACTCGACCTGAATTAATGCCCTATAGCAATAATAATATTAACGAGCTACTTAGACAGAGAAGACATTTTATAAAGGGAATCATTAGGTCGTAGTCAGAGGAAATTCGTACGTCATTTAAAGCATAGATTTCCGTCTGATGATTCCTCTTACAAGGACACCTGTCAGGAGTATAAGCTGCTAACGCGGAGTGTAGGTCGTACGGTGTTGGACATGGGTTTGTTGTACGACATCTTGTTCGGACGTTTCGACTGCCCTGAAATTCTGGAGCAGATAGCGCTGCGTGTGCCGGGGCGCTGCACCCGTCACACGACTTTATTCCACGTCCCGCCCCACTCTACTAACTATAGGAAGAATGCAGTGTTGTCACGAATTTGCACCCCCCATGGAATAAAGGCATAACTGGAGTTACGTCAAAAACGTTTATTGCTGTATCTTGTAACTCTATCGACTAATATTGTAGATAAAAAATTGGAGAGGATGCGAGTTATATTTTTCTGTATCTAATTCACCAATAAACGTGTATGACGTAACTCCACTTATGCCATTCTTCCACGAAGGGTGCGAATTGTCAACAGTTATAATGTGCACTTCCCTTTCATTGGTAGTAAAGAAGGTTTCTTAAAAAATGTTAAATCTACACCGTTTGTAAAGTTTTTTTTACATGATCTGCATAGGTTTTTTAAATGATTAATAACTAATTTAAACTAATTAAAAGTTTTGTTTTTTTATATAATTATATAAATACATGTTATCGATTATATATTATATAATATATCATTTTTATATCTTACATAGTTATATCTTAAGTATATGTTATTAATATATGTATCATCACGACAAATAAGTTATTGTAGACTTTCAGTTAAACCTTAATTAAAATTAAATTCTCTAAGCTCACTACTAATTTTGTTTTGTACTGTTTGTTTATAAGGCTTTAAAATTTATGTTATTGTGGATAACTATTGTGGCATGTAAGTTATTTAGGACAAATATTGTTCGTTGTAAGATGTATTGAGGTTGGCTGTTGTTATTCCTTAATAATAAAAAAGAATAGACCGTCGGAATGGCCTGGTACGGGTCAGGAACATTATATGTTTTTCAAGAATTGCGAACTTTCTTCAACAAGCAGAACTTTCTTCATCACGATGTTTTGCTTCAACGTTAGAGAAAGGTATTACTGCAAAATCTTCACAAACGAACATAACTTAGAATTTAAAGTCTCATAAGTAGGTAAAAGTTTTAGCAGCAGCTAAGCAGAGACAAGTATGTTAATAGTAATCTGTGTTCCGGTTTTGAAGGGTACTTGTCAACTTATGTCTCAGGGTGACGGGCGCAGTGGCAGTGCCCCTTAGGTTTTTGCGATTTAAAGCTCTGAGTGGCACTGTAACTGTTATGGACAGGCGTGTAGCCATCAGGCGCACAACTTGTTCGTCCCGTCACTGGGGTAACATAGAATAAATGTTGTTTCCATAAGGTCGTGGTTTCGAAACCGGGCTTGCATTCGGAATCTATCGGCGAAATTGAAACTGAAAGTCCGCGTCAATTCTTTACTCGGCTGTGACATTAGCTGATTGGATCCTTTTGCATACGCCACCGTCGCGCACATGACACTTATTCAAATTGTGTTTCACTGACTGTTTTAAAATTGGATTATGTTTTGTTTTGTTATTTTTTGTTCTACTTTTGCTTTGTCTTCTTTTATTTATTTTAGTGGCGTTGTAATAAATGAATCCTATTCTATTCTAAATTGAATTTGAAATTTACCATGAACTTTTCGATTCGATCGAGAAGAATCCTGCACATAACTGAAAAGCAATGTGATAATGTGTGTGACGCTCCTCAACGCATGGGCCCGCGTACGTGCTTGTTAGTCATGTTGTTTTATTTATTAACTGTCGAATTAATAGTGTTAAAGAACACTGTTTATTTGACGCGCAATACTCACAAGTACAAGAAAACACAAATAATAGAAGACCATATCAAATGAGCTTATGACTCAGAAAGAGTTCTACGAATGGTTAAACAATTCAAATTCCATAATATATACTAACAATAAGCGAGTACTAGCCACCTTATCTGTTTCGGTCGCCAAACAATAACGTGAGCATTACTGCGTTCCGGTTTTAAAGGGCATATGGGACTTGTCAACTGTTATGTCTCAGAGTGACTAGCGCAGTGACACTGCCCCTCAAACCTAAGCGATTTAATGAGTGTCTTTTAAGTAAATGAATTTGGCCTTGACCACTACCTAGCCTTGGAGCAAAGTTAGGGTCTACGATGGAACAAGCTCTCCCACGAGATGCAGTGGCGGATTTGCAGTCTTGGCTGCCCTAGTCAGTACCAGCCGCCCTGTTATCAGCACTCATATACCTACTGGTAGACATATATATATATATATATAGTTTATAAATAAAATGTACGATATTGATTTGGAAAGATTATTGCTATATGATGCGGTGCAGTGCGGCTCGCCATAATGTGCGTGAGCCTTTAAAATATAAAGGTACTTTGAGTTATTTCTTGTTACCATCAGTGAATTTTTTGTCACGATTGGCCACCCCTAAAATCTGGCCAAATCTTGGCAAATCCGCCACTGAGAAGGTGCCTATTCAGTCGCACCTTAACGATACACATGGTACCACGATTTCGTTTAACGATTCTTTTATGGGGAACTGTATACGTTTTTACAATAAGATTCCAGAGCATACGTTAAGATTATAATTTCCTAAGTTGAAAACTTACATTAAAAGTATTTTAATTGAAAAATTATATTTTACAAAATTGAAGATAAAGATGTATGGAAAGACGACATGGGTCTAGATTCCACACAAGTTTATTTAAAAAGAGCAGTCTTAGACTTTCTTGCTAGTTCTTCTTAGGGAAATCGGCACAGTGAACGAGCAGTAGCTTAAAAATGACGTTTTCAAGTACCATTTATTTTACTTATGGAATAAATGATTCTTTGACTTTGACTCGGGTTGTATGTCCTCGGAAACAATCGCAGGCAGAGAAATCCATTCAGACCGACAGCCAATTTTGTGCCGGTGGGCTAAACTAGCACACATTATACAACAACTAAACATAGGCACACATTTTTAAAATTGTGCTTTTCGTCTGAATGTATACCATACAGAAGTATGACAGCATCCAAATGACAGAAGAATTAGTAGGTGTTAATCATTGATCGTCTTTCAGCCATTGAGGCTAGATGGCAGCATATTGAACAAAAGGAGAATGGGCAAAATACAAGGGCCTTGGACCTGGAAGCGGCCACTTCAAAAACATAGTTTTTATAATTCTTTATGTTACGACAAACAATACTTAGTATGGAGTCAGAGTCGTATTTTGTGTGTAAAAAAAGTTATGACCAATACAATTGTCCAAGTAATAAATGAACACGTGTTACATTTTTGACAAATATTCCTTTGTCTACTGGATATTTCTATGAAATAAAACAA